CCCCCCCCCCCCGCCACCATGGCACTCATCAGTGACAAGTTACATATACATCTGCTTATTATTTTTCATATGCACCATGTTTCCTCCTATGAGTATAAACACTACAAGGGCAGAAGTCTCTGTTTAGGTCACAGGTGTGACAAGCACACAGACAATGCTTATAAAGTATGTGTTGAGTGAGTGGATGAGATCTAATTTTCTCACCTACAAAATGGGCCTCATAGGACCCACCCTGTACAGCTTTTTGAGGATTACGTGAGAAAAAATTCAAATTCCCTTCGCACAGCAGGGTCACCTAATCTCATGGAGGACATTAAGGGCAGATTCTGAAGGAAATATTTCAGCGGAGACCTAATGAGCAGGATTAGGCTCATGGGAGAGAATGTTCCAGAATAGCTTGAGAGAAGGTATGGAGCAGAAAGGCAGAATGGTGAGACAGGCACAAAGCTGACAGAGCAGACCATGTGATGGCTGGAGAGCAGGGGGTGACGGGCAAGGAGGAAAGAGGAGGCCACAGAGGCTGGGTCCTGCAGACTTGGAGACGACCGTGAGGGTTTGGCAGGGTCTGGTCTGGACAGTGACACAGTCACATCTGCCCACAGGAAGAGCCACTCTGGCCGCTGTGCTGAGAATGGGTTGGTGGGGGCAGGCAGACCTGGGTAGGTGGGGTGCCACCCACTGTGATGGGGGGGGCAAGACAGGGGAGGGGAGGCTGATGTGGGGTGATGGCAGAGACCCCGGAGCAGACACAATCAGGTGTGGGTCCCAGCTCTGGCGCTTCCTTGCCCTGTGGTCTTTGACAAATAATCCACGGAAGCCTCAGTCTTCTCTGTGAGGCCAAGAGAAGAGGGTCTGCTCAGCTGGCTTGTTCTGAGGTTCAGTGATCACGTCCTAAAGCATTCTCTGTGCAGAGTCTGTCCCGCAGTCCTCGCACTCTCGTTCAAGTGATGATCTAAGATTTGTCCCTCACTCAAAGATGTTTAATGGCCCATTCTTTTCGTTAGTAATTAACTACTCAAACTTAATAGCATCGACTGTAATGCAATGATGGTATCATTTTTCTAAACAAGTAGAAATACACCAGGCACTGACATAGGTGCTGGGGAGCCAAAAGCCCTAATCCCAAGCCTCGGTCACTCCCAGCCTCCAAGGAGACAGCTGCCAACACTGGATGGCAGTGAGGCCCGAGGTGGAGGCGGCACGGTCACCTGCCAGGGACCACGTCCCTTCCACAATCAAATCAAGCCTCGCGCTGTGCCATATGGCTGTTTCCAGCCTACCTCTCTCACCGTGCAGTCAAGCTGCGCGCCTTGGGTTTCTCTCTTTTGTTGGTTTCATGTTTCCAAGCCTTTGTACAAGCTGCTCTCTTCATTGGAAATGCCTTTCCCACTTTTTTTCGGTAACCACTGCTTGCCCTATGGGACACTCAGAATCCAGCCGACGTCACCTTCAGAAAGCCTTCGTTGACCCCGGCTCAGGGTGAGGTGCTGCCTTAGTGTGGGGCTGGTCACGGCACTAACAGTCCGGTCACTGCTGACTTCTCTTTCCCATTTGTTCTGGGTCTTGCTCTTCTCTGTGCCACGGGAAGTTCCGCGGCCTGACTACTCGGTGGGTCTGGTCTGATCACTGGTGGAGAGGCTGCAAGGCTCAACAAGCAGATGTTGCTGGCGGCCGAATGGCCACACTGTGTCCAGTATCCCCATTGCAAGGATTACAAGGGTCTTCATTAATCAATTTCCGTATCATCCCAGCTTCCACTGGCACATGCCATCTCTCTCCTTACAGCAGGGGAGGAGGAGAGGAAAGGGGAGGGGAGGCCCGGGGTCCCCAACATGATGGCCCAGAACATCCTGAAGGTGAGGAGAGGCAAAGGGTCTGCTGTCTGCCTGGGGAGCTGGGTCCCATGTGGGGTGCCCTTGACACACACTGGCATCTGGTTTTCAGGGTTTGTAATGTTCCTTTCTGAAAGTGGGCAGCCACGCTGGGAGCCCGACTGCCGCAAATACTCAGGACAGCCTCACTGTCTCCTTAGGAGCAGGAAATCTCCAGAATGTACCCCTAGGTATTGAACTCACAGAGCCCACTCTTCGGTTCCAGAAAGAGCTGAGACGGAGGCCCGGTTTGTAAGAAATCTGATTATTCAAATTTATTACCATCAAGAATTATGCAATGATGCTGTAGTTTTCTTAACAAATAGAAAACAGACTGTGTACAACAGTGGACTCTACAGCACTAGCATCCACAAGGTAAAAATGAATGTTTCATCCAACATTACCAACCCTGGATTGTTGATCTTGACTGAGCCTAGCTAGATCTGGGGACATGTGCTCCATATCCCAGCTAAAACAGCTATGCACCCTTCCCCGCCCCCACTTACCTACCTAGATAGTGCTGCCCAGAGGAAGAGGCCCTCTCCCTGCCCCTCAGCAAGCCAAGATAATAAGGATCGAGTATAGTACCATTGAGAGAAGTCCAGTAGTCTTGCCACATTGGTTTAGGAGGGCATCTTGAAGGAGTGGAAAAGAGCGATTCTCAGGGGCTTTGAAAACAGCTGCAAACCAGGGAGAGAAATCATCTGGCCCTGCTCTGAGGACAGACATGTGCTACCAGGCCCACTGGCCTGGACCTGAAGGGCCAGCTGTGCCCCTGCTCGGCCCTGAGGTGTGCGGGGCGTGGTACACACCCTGACCTGTGTCAGTCACCTTGGCCCCACGGCCAGATCCACAGCTTACCAACACCACGCCGTACCCGCAATGCTGGGGACAAAAGCAAGGCTCTGTGGGCCCAGAGGTCAGTCTGGCAGCTCCCCTGGGAAGCCCAGGAACACAGAGCTGCCTCCCTTCTTGGGGTTTTGAAGCAGAGGCCAGGGGGATGACTCTGTGTTTTTCTTGGTGGGTTTTTTTTTTTTG